CCCTTAATCACTAGTGGGGCCTGCATGTTCCCTAGGCATTCGAATTTAAAGATTAGGTATTCGGCAGTCATATCCCTCTTTTGGTATCCTAGGCACCTCAGGTGGTAGACCTACCCAGTTATCTATTCCCATCCCCATCCCTTTCCTTTCCTCTTCTGCTCTTGCTTCTGTGTTGAATGAGCATACCTCAGGCATGTGGGCACTCTAGTGGACTTCTCCCAAGGACGCATAGGTCCTATGCACTATAGAGAAGGAAGCTGACACTTCATATAAATTTATATACCTTGAGTACCTAAGGTACCGTTAACCTTAGAACCTTGATAGAAATGTAGCAGTTTAACATGAATAACATAGGGACGGCGGGACAGGGGCTTCTAATACTATTTCAAACGGATCACCTCAACCCTCAATAGCGTCGAGGTATATATAATTAGATTACATGCCTACCTAGGTAGATAATAAGTATCAATGTTATTCATAGAAAATTGATTGCTGGGAATCAGGTAGGATGTGAGAAATGGATAGATGAAGTCGAATATGAAGCCCCGGCCATTTGGCCGAGCCTCACACATAGGCAGGTATGTACTAGCTTGCCTAATCGGGCAAGTATCTAACCTACCACCTCTTCCTGGGGCTGCTGGGGTAAGGGTAGGAGGTCCTGGAGGTCCTAGCCCTGGAGGTTACCTCAGCAGCCCCCACCAGTGCCCCACCTACCCACGGCTCTTTGCAAACGCGTCTCATGGTTGATAGATCGCGTCTCACATCCCACCAGAATCAATTAGATCCAACAGCCTCGTTGGTCTGCCACAACTTGGACGCCCTCTTGTCCTCCTGTCCTCTTGCAATTTTCCTTCTTGACTATTCCGTAACCCCTTCTGTTTATAAGGTGATCAGCCTTTCGCCCTCGTGGCCATGTCGTCTCTCGAGCCCCGCCGACGATCAAGGGCACGATTCGAAGAAGAGAATGACCAGCCGACTTCCGGGTCGGACTCACCAAAGCGACAGAAACGCATTACTAATGGCGCATTGGTAGAGGAAGATGAAGATGATGAAAACGGCCGAAGTGTATCGCGTAACATGCGGATTAAGACCTCCCCCTCGCGAGACGGCCCTGGCAACACCATCACCGATTTTCAGCCCGGCGCTATTGTACGAGTCCTCGTCGAGAACTTTGTTACTTACGAACACGCCGAATTCCACCCCGGCCCTAATCTGAATATGGTCATCGGCCCAAACGGCACCGGCAAGAGTTCTCTAGTTTGTGCTATCTGTCTGGGCTTGGGCTATCACCCAAGACATCTTGGCCGCGCACAGAGCATGGGAGAGTTTGTGAAGCATGGCAAAGATTTTGCTATTGTCGAAGTAGAATTGCAAGGCCGACCAAACGATCAAGACAACTATGTAGTCCGACTGCAAATCCGCAAAGAAGACAACAAATGCAAGTATTGGCTTAATGGGAAGGACAGCACGCATTCAGCCATTAAGAAGCTTGTAAATGCACTGCACATCCAAATCGATAATCTGTGCCAGTTTCTCCCCCAGGATAGGGTTGTTGAATTCGCCGGCCTTACTCCCGTACAACTTCTCCAAGAGACCCTACGAGCAGCTGCCCCCGAACGCATAACCGAATACCACGAGAGCCTCAGAAAACTCCACTTAGATCACAAGCGAATCAAGGGGAAACTGGATGAAAATGCCGAGATATTGAAGAACCACGAAACGCGCCAGCAGGGATCGCAGGCCGATGTCGATAGACTCCGCGACAGAGAAGCAATCCAGAAACATATCGACAACCTCAAGTCTGCTCATGTAATCGCCGAATATACGACCGTCAGAAACGCCTATAGCGACGCAAAGCAGAAGAGCCGAGATGCTACCAAGAAACTGCGAGAACTGGAGGCGGCTTGCGAACCTGCCTTACAAGCTGTTAATCGAAAGAAGGAATACCAACGAAAGATTGGAGTCGTTGTTGAGGAACGGAAGGTTGCACTCAAGAGGGCCGAGGCAGCATGCGGCCAACTCGTGGAAGCTATTGAGGCTCAAGACGAAGAAATAAAACAACTCCAGAATAAGAAGAGCGCCGAACAAGGCTCATATGATTCTAGGCGGGTCGATATCCATAAAGGTCAGAGAGCTATTAGAGACCTCGAGGCTAAGCTGCAGAACAAGCCTCCCGAGTTTGTTCCCGCTGACTACAACATGAAGATTGTAAGTTGTATGGATACGGTTCTTGTTATCCCACATGCTAACGTACGTAAATCCAGCGGCAACAACAGGCTATCGTGCGCGAAAATGTGGCAAAAAGGCGTGAGCTTGACAGCAAACGCAACGAGGAAAAGGCGGCCTATACCGAGAAGAACAATGAAAAGAGAAGGCTCGAAAAAGAGTTAGAAAACCTGAATTCCCAAGAGGGTCAAAAGCTTTCTCAGCTGAGAAAAATCAATGGGGGTGATATCGCGAAAGGTTGGGAATGGCTCCAAGAGCATAAAGGCGAATTCGAGGAAGAAGTGTTTGGTCCGCCGATGCTCAACTGCTCTATTACGGACCAACGCTACTCGGACCAAATCCAATCTCTTCTCGCACAGGAAGACTTCTTATGCTTTACTTGCCAGACTCCGAACGACCACAAGAAGCTAAGCGCGCAATTCTACAAGGTATTAGGAATCTCGGTGTCAATCAGAACATGCCGGAGCGATTTCGCCTCTTTCCAACCAGGTATCCCCAAGGAGCAGATTCGTGAGATGGGTCTCGACGCGTATGCTATCGAGTTCCTAGAGGGCCCCGCACCCGTTCTTGCGATGCTTTGCTCGGAAAAGAGATTGCACACCTGCGCGGTTGCTCTTCGGGACATTAGTAATGATCAGTACGAACGAGTAGCCGGTTGTGAGAGGATACCTTCCTGGTCTAGCGGCCGTACATTGTATCGAGTCCAGAGGCGTCGCGAGTATGGTGGCAACGCAGTTTCGACAAGTACAAGAAAGATTATGTCGGGTCGCTTCTGGACAAATCAACCTGTCGATCAGTCTGAAAAAACTATGCTGCAGATGCGAATCAGTGAAGCAGACGAGGCACTTGGTAAGATCAAGGAGGAAATCCTGAAACTAGGTGAAGAACTTGCTCAGATTGTCGATGGCCCTATCAATGCAGAAATAGTAAGTGCTGATGCATGATGTGAAACTCGCATGCGATTCTAACTATTGCCCTCAAGGATAGATTAATGGCAGAAAAGAATGAGCTACAGAAAGCTGCTACGTATTATGCAACGCTTGGGGAGAGAATTGGTAAGCAACCAAGGTACCGCTTGAAGGACGACGTGATATATTAACAATACCTATACAGCAACCGAAAAAGCAAATCTTGAAACGAAACAGAAAGCGATTATGGATAGTAGAAAGAGGATGCAAGAATATGGAGAACGAGAGGACAGGCTCGTTATTAAGAAGGCGAAGTCTATTCTGGAGCACAACGCACAGCTCTCGCAGATTCGTGATGCTCACCAAGCACTACTTGAGGCTCAAATCCGCTTCATCGAAGCACAATCAGATGTGAAAAGACTTGAGCAGCAGAATTCCGATGTTAATCGACAGATCGACGAAAAGAAAGCCGAGCTCGACACCTTGAAGCGGGAACAGGACACGCTAAGAGCCGAAGCAACTGTCGTCTTGGAGAGGGTTCAGGCTTTGCAGGCGGGGGATAATTCGGGTGACGATCCCGATAGCGGGTATAGCCTTTGGGCCGAAATCGCGAAGAACAGAACTCCGGAGGACATCGCCGAAGAGGTCGATGCCGAGACCAACAGACTAAGGCTGATCGAAGGAGTCAACCCCGAGATCCTACGTCAATACGAGAAGCGCGCGCAGCTGATCCAAGAGTTCACGAAGAAGAAGGAGAACCTGAGCGACCAGCTGGACGAGATCGCCGGGAACATGGCGCACATCATGGAGCGGTGGGAGCCGGCCGTGGACGAGGTCATCGGCAAGATCAACGACGCCTTCGCGTACAACTTCGAGCAGATCAACTGCGCGGGCGAGGTCGGCCTCCGCAAGGACGAGGACTTCGAGCAGTGGGCCGTCGTCATCAAGGTCAAGTTCCGCGAGAGCGAGACGCTGCAGCCGCTCAACCAGCACCGGCAGTCGGGCGGCGAGCGCGCCGTGTCGACCATCTTCTACCTGATGGCCCTGCAGTCGATGGCGCAGGCGCCCTTCCGCGTCGTCGACGAGATCAACCAGGGCATGGACCCGCGCAACGAGCGCATGGTGCACGAGCGCATGGTGGAGATCGCCTGCCGCGAGCACACCAGCCAGTACTTCCTCATCACCCCCAAGCTGCTGACCGGCCTGCGCTACGACGAGCGCATGCGCATCCTGTGCATCGCGTCGGGCGAGCACATGCCCTCGCTCGGCGACGCCACCAGGGGCCTCGACTTCGGTAACCTCGTCAGGATCCAGAGGGCTATCGCTTCGGCCGCTTAGTACCGGGACTTTATGCACCGCGGCTCTCTGGGCTGAAGATGGGACCGTCGTATGAACTGAACTCTCGTGTGCTCGTTTCTATTACTTGGTTGCTTGTATGAATATTGTGGTTTGCGGTACCAACTAGGTAGTGTGTATTTACGGAGCGCCGGGAACGCTTGTTGTCCAGGAAAGATTGCTTTGTTGTTATATTTGCTGGGCCACCTGAGCCTGTTGTCTTCTAGGAGTGTGAGGAGGATGGAAATAGGGGGTATAGGGAGTTAACACAGAAGGGATAGAGAAGGCAAGGAAGCAATGATTTTGATATTTCTCAAGGCGAAAAGGGCCGGCTAGTAGCCGATGTTGTAAGTACACTTGACTTAATATAAGAGATCTTATGACTCTTATACCTGCAATGGTTACTGTGATAGGTACTAAAAAAGAAACACTGGGAAACAAGACCACTCAGACGCGAGTGCAATCAGCCTTGGGCATATAGGTAGGTAGGCAATATCATCGAGGACTCATGAACTATGCTACCAGCTTAACTTCGGTATAGTGTAATAGTTAACAGATCTGGTTCTCACCTAGGAGCTCGGGGTTCGATTCCCTGTCTTGGAGTCCTTCTTTATAAACTGTTTCTTTCTTCTATTGCCTTTCAGACGAAGTAGTAGTTATACAAATATATACCGGGGTATCTAAGGATGTAATCAACAGCATGGACACAGCCTTCCCCCTTTTCGCTTAGTATCTCTCTCTCTCCGCTTTCACCTCCTCCTCATCCTCAAATTACTCTACATATTCCTCAAGATATCCAAGAGCGCGCCGAGCTTCTCCCTAACGGTGATCGCGTACCCGAGCCCCACGACGCCCCTCGTAAACCGCCACCCGCGCTCCTGGCCGCGGACCGGGTACCGCACGGGCGGCGGTATGGCGGTGCGGACGCCGAGCCACGCGAGCCGGTCCTCGCACACGCTCTTCAGGTTGCACAGGCCACGCAGCCCTTCCTCGCCGGCGAACCGGCCGTACCCGGACCCGCCGACGCCGCCGAACGGCAGCTGCACGGCGTAGAAGACGGCGAAGTCGTTGACGGCGACGCCGCCCGCGCGTATCCCTTTCACTACCTGCTTCAGGACCGGGTCCGAGTCGCGCCCGTACACGGAGGACCCGAGGCCGAAGTCGGGCGCGTTGGCGAGGGCGAGGATGCCCGGGGCGGAGGATGAAGGGGCCCGCAGGATCGTCATGACGGGCCCGAAGCACTCCTCGTTGGCGACGGCCATGGCGGGGGTCACGTCGACGAGCAGCGTGGGAGCGAAGTAGAAGCCTTTCGGGTGGTCCGGGTGGGTGTACCGTTTGCCGCCGGCCAAGAGCCGTGCGCCTTTCGCGACGGCGTCTTCGACGAGGGCCTCGAGGCGCGTGAACGAGGCGTCGGAGACCATGGCGCCGACGTCCTGGTCGAGACCCATGCGCAGAGCCTTTACGCGGGGCTCAAGCATGGATACAAGCTTATCATAAACACCAGGAGCAACAATAATACGCTCGATTCCTATACAGTTCTGACCGGACGCCTGAAAAGTGCCACGCATAAGAATGTCGACGATACGCTTCAAGTCGCGCTTGGCAGAATCTAGGATCACGGCGGCGTCCTTGCCGCCTAGCTCGGCAACGACGGGCGTCAGGCTCTTGGCGGCGCTGGCGGCGACGTGGTGGCACACGGGCCGGCTACCAATGAATGTAAGATGACTGATCCCCGGGTGACTCGTCAGGTGGCCGGCGGTCTGCGGCCAGCAGACGACGCTCTGAATCAGCTGCGGGTCGTGACCATGCGCCACCAATGCACCCCGGGCGATCATCGTGTAGTAGGCGGCGCTCCAGCACGTCTGCTCGCTGACCTTGACGACCACGCCGTTGCCCGCGAAGATCGAACTAATGATAGGGCCGATCAGATTATGGAATGGGTAGTTCCAGCTGACGAGCGCGGCCACCACGCCAAGAGGCTCGTAGTGCACCGTGTTCCGCTTGTAGCTCATGAGCAAGTTCGTCGGGCGTCGACTGGGCCGCAGCGCCTTCTCACCGTGCCGGATCGTCCACTGCAGCTTCTCGACCGTCACCATGATCTCGCCCAGCTGCGCGTCGACCATGGTCTTGCCCGAGTCCAGCGAGCTGATCCTGCAGATCTGCTCCTGGTTGTCGAGGACGTGCTGCAACATCGTCCGCAGTACCCTGCGCCGCTCGGCGAACGTGGTCTGCGCCCATTTCTCCTGGGCCGCCTTGGCCTGCGCAACGGCGCGGTCGATGCCCGCGGGCGTGGACGGGTTGACGAGGCCGAGGAACTGGCCGGTGGCCGGCGCGTAGCATTGGATGGCGGTGGAACTCGGAGCTTTGATGGTAGGGTGCTCGAGGATCTTGCACTCGTCGGGTTGCTTGGGGATCGGGATGGTGTATCGCTTCGGCTTCTCCCAGTAGTCGGTGTGGGTGTAGTAGAGAATCAGACCCCCTACGACGGCGAAGACCAGGGGAGCGAGGAGATAGACGACATCGTTGACACTATAAATGGGGATTGTATAAGACACATGGTTTTGGAGACAATTATGATAATGCTTATTTATGGGTGTATAACGTACGGGAAATCTCGTATTAGGTCGCTGAACTCCTCGGTCCATGCAACGAGATCTTCGACTGCCATCTTCGTTCTGATGCACTCCTATTCGAGGTCTCCGGTGAGAAGCAGTTCTAGTCGTACGGGGATTTTATAAAAGCAGAATCATTTCTCAGCCAGTACACAACCCAGTTTCATGAGTTGTTACATAGTCCCAGGGGATAATGGCGTTCAATTGCAGAACGGAAACGTCCCCTGGTTCACGATATCGTCCCATCATTTAATTGAATTAATGGAGTTAGTTTTATGAAGGTCGATGCGGTGGCCCGTTAATACAGCTCCGCCAAAATCAACAATTAAATATTAGTTAGCCCTAAAGGGGGAAATTGCCATATAAGCTATGTTTACTTATCCTTATAAGCATAAATTATACCTGATTAGTATATGGATCAGAATGCTTTTATATGCAAAATGTAATTGATATTTTTATTAGTTTTATAAAATTATTATTAATTATAATAATAATTATTTAAATATTTAATTAAATAAATTAATTATTTTTTAAAATATTAATAATTATGATTTTAAATTTATTAAATAAAATAAAAAAAAATAAAAATCTAATATTTATTTATATTATTTTTTTATATTAAATTTTAATTAAAATTATTATTTTAAAATATTAAATTTTAATTAAAATTATTATTTTTAAAAAGTATTACGTAATTATTTTTAATTTTTTATTATCTTATATAATATTTTTTAATATAATTAATTTTGAGTTTTACTATTCGCACCGGTCAGAATTACTATCAGAGGCTTATTTGCACCCGTATACATCTTGAAATTGGGGGCGATAAGACCTTATTTATAGCCACCAAGCTTACAACCGAATAACTTCGCGAAATCGGCTCTAAATTCTTAATAATTTATATCATTTCAATGCTAATTCAATTGCGCTTCAAATGATATAGGTTGCACTATGCTGCGATATCATTCTCAAGAGTGGTGTTGAATTCAAGGTTTTTCGTGTAAAAGGTCATCACGTGACCGCCTTTTTGGAGACCGTACGAGCTATATATTCAACAATTCAATACACATATCCCCTTATTAAAAATCATCTAAATTCGTAAAAAATACTGACTCTATCTTAATCTTTAATCCCTTTCAAACGATACCACTTACGAGCTTATACATCAGGTATTGGGAAAGCTATTGAGGTCTGAATATCAGGTGTGTAAGTGGTTTAGGTGTATCACATGGTTGAATATCACACTAGATTCTTACATTTGGAAATAGCTTCGCACCCACCTTTCGTACAATGGTGCAACCTGATTCATTTGAAGCGCAATTGAATTAGCATTGAAATGATACAAATTATTAAGAATTTGGAGCCAATTTTGCGAAGTTATTTGGTTGCAAGCTTGGTGGCTGTAAATGAGGTCTTATCGCCCCCGATTTCAAGATGTACACAGGTGCAAATAAGCCTCTGATAGCAATTCTGACCGGTGCGAATAGCAAAACTCTTAATTTTATTTTTAAATTAAATTTTAATTAAAATTAAATTAAATAAAATAATATAATTAAAATTTAAATTTTCGCCTTTTTATATTTTATTTAATAAAATCGATTTTAATTTTATAATTATTAAAAATTATTAATTTATCTAATTAAATTATTAAAATTATTTTAATTATATATAAAATTATCCTAATTTTTTATTTCGGGGCTAGCGAATTTTTAATTTTCGATTTTAGCGGAGTTATATGAACGGGCCACTCCAATCGATGCTATCGATAGGGCAGGGTGCTTGTTATCGCAGTTAAGCAGTACTTCATACTTCGTAGATAAGGTACTCTAGTAGGTTAGAGTTATAATTAGAAGTGAGACACATGTCTACTATGGTACAGCAAAATAACCCCACGTTGATGTAGCTACCACTGAGTCACCCCCCTCAGTCGCTATATTTTTTTCAAGCTATATCTACGCGGGGAGATGCTGCGTGCGCTCTGCAGAAGCAACAGGCTAATATCTACGACTTCCTTTCGATCGCCTTTCCTAATTCCCCTGGCCCTATTTTCCTCCTCGAGTCGAGTCTACCAATTACCTAACTTCGAACCCTCGCCCTCTGGCGACATTGGCGATATGGCTTCCAAGGAGGCCAAGATCTCCCTCAAGGCGGTTAAGGGCACGCGTGACTGGTCAGGCTCTGATCTGCTCCTGCGAGACCACGTCTTGTACGTCTTCACTTAGTACTTACCTTACCTACACTTTGCTAACCTAGCAATAGTGAGACCATTAGCAACATCTTCAAGCTTCACGGCGGCACCCCTCTAGACACACCCGTCTTCGAGCTGAGGGAAATCCTCTCGGGAAAGTATGGCGAGGATTCGAAGCTGATCTACAACCTCGAAGATCAGGGCGGCGAGCTTTGCGCCCTACGGTACGACCTTACCGTCCCCTTCGCCCGGTGGTTGGCCATGAACAACGTCCAGCAAATCAAGCGCTACCAGATCGCCAAGGTCTACCGTCGAGATCAGCCCGCCATCGCTCGCGGCCGCATGCGCGAGTTCTACCAATGCGACTTCGATATCGCCGGACAGTACGACCCTATGATTCCCGACGCCGAGATCCTGCGCGTCGTCGCCGAGACCTTCGACGCCCTCGACCAGGAGATCGTCATCAAGCTCAACCACAGAAAAATACTCGACGGTCTGTTCGCCGTCGCAGGTGTGCCCGCCGAGAAGATCCGCCCCATCAGCTCGGCCGTAGATAAGCTGGACAAGGAGCCGTGGGAGGCCGTCAAGAAGGAGATGGTGGAGCAGAAGGGGCTGCCGGAGGAGGTCGCGGACAAGATCGGGCAATACGTACTAAATAAGGGCACCGTCGACGAGATGATAAAGTTCATCCGGTCCGACGAGGGCCTGACGGCCAACGACGAGATCAAGGCGGGACTTGCCGATATGGACCTTCTTTCCGCCTACTCAAAAGAGTTAAATACCTTCGACAAGATCTCTTTCGA